ACCCTAAACCCTAAACCCTAAACCCTAAACCCTAAACCCCAAACAAGGATCCTCAACCGTGCATCAGGTGATCATTTCCCTTCCGTCGGAGCAGGTTTCCAGCCGGGCGAGGGCAACCGGTCTGCAGATACAGGGTTTAGGGTTTAGAGTTTAGGGTTTAGTGTTTAGGGTTTAGGGTTTAGGGACTAGGGTTTGGGGACTAGGGTTTACGATATGAGGGGTACTTTTTGGGGTCTTTTAGTGTAAGGGGATCCTACTATTTGTCGGTCTATGATAGGGGTCCCTTATTATGGTAAACCCCCACATGGGATGCCCCCCCTTGAGGGGGGGTTTAGGGCATAGAGGGCCTTATATAGCCTTAACACCAAAACCTTCAAACTCACCCGCCAAACCCTATAAGCATTAGGATTTGCAAGGTCCCGGCCCCCCCCCCCCCCCCCCCCCCAGTGCTACTAGCACCCGGGGCTTGCGACGTTGGCATGTAGTGATCCAAGGGTGGTTCTATGGTCCCATTTAGGCGCTCCATACTACTTGAAGGTTCATGGTACTTACTACCCAATTACAACTGTACTTACAACCCTACTTATAATTGGGGATAACCCCTAGAAGGCCCTTTAGGGGTATTATAAGTAGGGTTATAAGTACAGTTATAAGTGGTTAGTAAGTACCATGAACCTTCAAGTAAGGGACCGTGTAACTACCCCAAGATGTGAAGGTCTTTTGGAGAATCGACCTACTCGTGGGTTTAGGGGTTTAGGGGTTTAGGGTTTTAGGGGTTTAGGGGTTTGGGGGTTTAGGGGTTTAGGGGTTTAGGGGTTTAGGGGTTTAGGGGTTTAGGGGGCTAGGGGTTTAGGGGTTTAGGGGTTTAGGGGTTTGGGGTTTGGGCTTTTGTCGTTTACCGGCCGAGTTTGCCTTAGGCGGCCGTTTAAGCAGCCTGTTTAACACCCTTTTTTTGTGCACAACCCTATAAACCCCTAAACCCCAAACCCCAAACCCTAAACCCCAAACCCCAAACCCTAGACCCCAAACCATGGAAACCCTAGACCAGGTATTGGTGAATGGCAAGATGCTTGCAAGGGACGAAAGGCCGTGCCCCTGGGTATAAATGCGAAGGACCAGATGTTTTGGGGTGGTTTGGGTTTAGGGTTTGGGGTTTGGGGTTTAGGGTTTAGGTTTTAGGGTTTAGGGTTTAGGGCTTAGGGTTTGAAGGACCAGGGGTTTTGGGGGGTTTAGGGCTTGCGAGGTTTAGGGTTGAGGGTATAAGGTCTCACAAAATGTTCTTTTATCAAGGCTTCTTACGGCTTCTACACCCTCGAACCAATTCTTCGGTCAAGTTGTGTGGTCACCCACCACCCCAACCCTAAACCCTAAAACCCTAAACCCTACCCTTAAACCCTAAACCGCCCCCACCCCCTCCCTCCTCTCTCCCAAAAAGATCCCCGTCAACAAGGGTAAGGGATCACACTAAGGCCACTAAGGGTCCCTAAGCCCTAAACCCTAAACCCTAAACCCTCAACTCTCAACCCTCAACCCTAAACCCTAAACCCTCAGGGCCCATGGTTCCGACCTTAGACCCCGCCCCAAAAAACAAAAAAAGACAATGAAAACCAAGAAGCGGACACCTGGCCAGGGTGGCGCTTCACCACTTCGATCGGCTCATCTTCGGGCGGGCCTCGATGATGAAGCTGGCGGCTTTCCAGCTTAGGGTCTGGGGTTTAGGGTTTAGGGTCTATAGGGCTTAGGGTTTAGGGTTTAGGTTCTAGGTTTTAGGGTTGTCCGTTGGGCGGGGGGTTTAGTATTCTTGGGATTGAGGGTTGAGGGCTGAGGGCCTGGAGGGGGGTAGGGGTTGAGGGATCACATTCCGACAGCCCAGTCCTTAATGATCTCATTGAGCAGGATCCCTCATATAGTTTAAGGATCTCATAAGGAGGGTCCCCATATACTTGTAGATTGAGGTATATTCCTTCGTTAACTAGTTAGCTATGGCCTCGCCATGAATTAAGCCTTATTCTTAAACCAAAGTCAGGGGTGTACTCCCTAGTTCAGAAATAGACTTTTGGTTAAGGGGCCGTCTCTGCGTAGTTTTTGGGACTTAAGGGTTTAGGGTTCATCTGCCGCTCACTTCCCCGCAGTGCTTTAGACCCAAGCCCGAAGAAGAAAAGAGTAGGGTTTAGGGTTTAGGGGTAGGGTTTAGGGTTTAGGGTTTAGGGTTTAGGGTTTAGGGTTTAGGGTTTAGGGTTTAGGGTTTAGGGTTTAGGGTTTAGGGTTTAGGGTTTAGGGTTTAGGGTTCCTAAACCCTGAAAGCTTCAAGATGGACATTTGACGCCAGGCGAGTTTTCTTTTTGGTTCAGGGTTTAGCATAGACGGGATTCTCTCCCAGCGTCTCCCAGTCCCTGTCTCTGTCCCTCTCCCCCTCCCTCTCCCCCTCTCCTCCCTCTCCCTCGTTTCCCCTCTTCCCCTCCCCCTCTCCTCCCTCTTCCCCTCTCCCCATCGCCCCGTCTCCCCTTCTCAAGACACCCGAAGGCTCAGGGAACTTACCGACTAGTGGTAGTTGGGCTTCAGTGCTGGGACACAAGTAAGCCTTTGGAATCAAGGCTTCGGGGGTGAAGAGCTAGGAGTTGACGGAAGAAGTCAGTTCTCCTTGCTGCAGGGCTCGAACCTCATGAATCGCCAAATGAACCTTCAAGCACACCTCCGTGCTTTGCAGAGCCGGAGCAGCCGAGGTAGTTCCTCTGGAGCAGCAGGAGCAGCTTGGGGGGCGGAAGCCCTGAACCCGAAAACGTTTAGGGGGGAGGTCCGACGCGGCACCTTGGCTTCCCCCCCTGCCCAAAAGAAGGCGCGGCATAAATCCAGGGTTCTTTGGGCCTTGCTTTGGGTGGGGGTAGTTAGAGGGTTAGGTTTTGGTGTTTAGGGTTAGGGTTTAGCCCCTTGGAGGTACCCACTTGTTTGGTTTAGGGGAATAGGGAAAGACTGGGCTCCCTTAGTACCTTAAGCTTCTTTTTTTCAGCCGCAGGCCTACTCCAGGTAGATGCTAATTAAGCCGAAATCCCTTAACCTCGACCGGAAACCTAAGCCGCTAAACCCTAAACCCTACGTACTATGTAGCCCTAAACCCTAGCCCTAAACCCTCAACAACCCTAAACCCTAAACCCTAAACCCTAAACCCTAAACCCTAAACCCTAAACCCTAAACCCTAAACCCTAAACCCTAAACCCTAAACCCTAAACCCTAAACCCTAAACCCTAAACCCGGAGGACCTGGCAGCCAACAAGTCTGACGAGCCGCACGTCTTGTCCGACGACGACGACCTCGACAGCGGGCCTCCGGCCGGGGCCTTGCGAGCCGGTGTCGGGGTTGAGGGTTTAAGGTTTAGGGTTTAGGGTTTAGGGTTTAGGGTTTAGGGTTTAGGGTTAAGGGTTAGTTAAGGGTTTAGGCTTTAGGGTCTGAACACCCTACATCCGCAAATCATATTCCTTGTCTCCCAGGGCTTAGGGCAGTTCTGGGAACCTAAACTTTATTTATTTGGTAGCCCAGGGGTACCCTTTACCCTTTTTTGTGGGGTCATGGGTTCCCTTGTAAAGTAACCAACCCAAAAAAGGGTACCCTGATTATGGGATGCTTTACTGGGCTACCAAGACTATCCTAAGCCGCAAGCGACCGAGCTGCCGAGCTCCACCAACTCGAAGCAAGCCACGATGCTAGAGGATGGTTTCTGTGGTCGAAGCATGTGTGTACAAGTAAACCCTAACCCTAAACCCCAGCATTACACACAGCTTCCCCCCCCCTACACAACTTCATAACGGAATGCTAGGGGTGCGGTCCTGGACCCCTGATCAAGTTTGGGAAAAAATGTTTGGGGATGGGGACGTCTTTTCAGGGCATTCCTGGGCTTCTTCTGGGCAACAAGTAAAGTTTCAGAGCTTTGGGCTGCGGCCTTGAAGGTTTGCAAATGGTAGGTTGTGGTTAGGAACACTGGTAGCAACAGCAGCAGTAGGAGGAGGAGGAGCAGGAGCAGTAGCGGTAGCAGTAATTAGCATTAACTTAGGTGTACTTAGAACAGCCGGTTCGGGCGCGCTCTAGTCGCGGGGGGTCAAACTATTCTAAGATGTTTGGAAATATGTTTGAATTAGTTTTTTTTTGAAATATTAGGCATGAACAGTAGCAGCAGCAGAAGCAGTCGCAGTCGCAGTCGCATTCGCACGATGACAACGTCCGTGTTACCAGAGCATCCATGTTTTGCGTGGTGATAACGTTCGTGTGCATGACCAGTGCGTGCGAGTGGCCAGAGCAGCACAGCATCCTCCTTGAACCCTCAACTTCAAGCCGTTACAGGCTCATGTTTGAGGACATCTAAGCAAAACGCATACTAAATCTTGCTTGCCTTTCCCCTTCCCAAAAGTAGTACGCCTAAAAATGCACTTCTCCGCTTTTGGACACGAAAGCGCAAATTCATGGAAAATACCCTGCAATTCGGGTGTTCACACCTGCGACCAGGAGCCTTGTGGCGGGCAAGCCTAGTAGTAGTAGTAGTAGTAGTAGTAGTAGTAGTAGTAGTAGTAGTAGTAGTAGTAGTAGTAGTAGTAGTAGTAGTAGTAGTAGTCGTAGTGGTGGTGGTGGTGGTGGTGGTGGTGGTGGTGGTGGTGGTGGTGGTCGTTGTAGTGGTAGTAGTAGTGGTAGTAGCAGTGGTGGTAGTAGTGGGAACAACCACAATCGATCATCATTAATTCAACATTATGAACTATCAGAACCACCATGGAAAATCATGATGTTACTATTCATGATGATTTCACCATGATTGTATCATTAGACAGTTAGACAGACTAACATTATGAACGTGTGTCATGGGAGAGCTCAAGCACCAAAACTGTGGTTTAGATTTTAGCTGTTGGTTTGTAGCTTCAAGGATTTTATGCAGGCTGTTGGGATCTGTGGTTGGCGGCTGAAAGAGCTTTGCGCGATGCTATTGAAAGGCTCGAGACACCTTGCTTTTTTTGTAGTTGATGGAGTACAGCTTGATGCTTCAAGTCACAGTAGCTTTGCCGAGCGGCAAAAGGAAATGTCTTACGGTCCCGCAGTCCGCCACAGTGAGAGATCTGAAACTTCTCGCCCAAACCACTTTTTGTCGAGGAGTTTTGCGGCTTGTGTCAGCGGCAGGGCAAGTCCTGCGCAACCTTGAGGAACCTCTGCAAACTGCGGGGGTGCAAGAAGGGGACTGCCTTACTGCCGTTGCACCTCCAGCAAACATAGCCGCAACTCGAAAAGTATCCATGTATACAAACGAGGGAGGATTTGCTTTGTGGTGCTGCGGAGGCGACCATTTGATCTCATGGGGATCTGCAGATGTTCAGGTTGAGGACGTCTTTGAGGATGTGCAAAAGACTCAGGCGACATGTGTTTCCTTTGCTGCCTTGCTGTCGGACAAATCGGTGGTCGCGTGGGGTTGCATACGTGATGGTGGTGACAGCTCTGAAGTAGAAGATGAGTTGACAGATGTACAGCATATTCAGGCAACTATCAGTGCTTTTGCTGCCATACGGTCAGACGGATCGGTTATCACTTGGGGCAGCCCATTTGAGGGTGGTGACAGCTCCCAAGTGCAAAGTCAGCTGAAGAATGTGCAGCATATTCAGGCAACTCAAACAGATTTTGCTGCCATACTGTCGGATGGATCAGTGGTTACTTGGGGCAACCCATATCATGGTGGTGACAGCTCTGAAGTGCAAAGTCGGCTCCGGAATGTACAGCATACTCAGGCAACATCCGGTGCTTTTGCTGCCATACTGTCAGAGGGATTAGTGGTTACTTGGGGGGATTCTGATTGTGGTGGCGACAGCTCTGAAGTGCAAAGTCGGCTGAAGAATGTACAGCATATTCAGGCAACTGAGCATGCTTTGGCTGCCATACTGTCGGATGGATCAGTGGTTACTTGGGGCAACCCATATCATGGTGGTGACAGCTCTGAAGTGCAAAGTCGGCTCCGGAATGTACAGCATATTCAGGCAACATTCGGTGCTTTTGCTGCCATACTGTCGGATGGATCAGTGGTTACTTGGGGCAACCCATATCATGGTGGTGACAGCTCTGAAGTGCAAAGTCGGCTCCGGAATGTACAGCATATTCAGGCAACATTCAGTGCTTTTGCTGCCATACTGTCGGATGGATCAGTGGTTACTTGGGGCAACCCATATCGTGGTGGTGACAGCTCTGACGTGCAAAATCGGCTCCGGAATGTACAGCATATTCAGGCAACATTCAGTGCTTTTGCTGCCATACTGTCGGATGGATCAGTGGTTACTTGGGGGGGATTCTGATGGTGGTGGTGACAGCTCTGAAGTGCAAAGTCGGCTGAAAAGAGTACAGCATATTCAGGCAACTGAGCATGCTTTTGCTGCCATACTGTCAGATGAATCAGTGGTTACGTGGGGCCATCCAGATGGTGGTGGTGACAGCTCTGAAGTGCAAAGTCAGCTTCGGAATGTGTGTCAGATTCAGGCATCCAACCATGCTTTTGCTGCCATTCGGTCAGATGGATTTGTTGTCACTTGGGGCCACCCAGCTAGTGGTGGTGACAGCTCTGAAGTGCAAGATGAGATCGGAGATTTGTAGCGTTGCAGCAGGATTTTTGAGCAATTTGGCGCAGCAAAATGCAGCAGCAAGAGGGGGTACTTGCAGGCCAACTGCGGTGGAGGGACCAACAAGTAGCATTTTCTTACATCAAGAGAGTTCTTCCAGTAAGAGATTCGCAACTTTGCAGGTAGTTGCTACGTGCATGTGTTCGATGAGCCGGGTTTTCGGATGTGAGATGACAAGTTGCGGTCTGCTTCCGGGGGGTTAAGCTGAAATGAACAGGGCCACCGCTCTGTTGCTACTTTCCTCGCTGAAATGCTTGCGGTCCATCATCGCAAGTGCCGATCTCTCACCATGTGCGCTGTGTGTTACTAGAGTCACTGTGGGTCAAGGGCCACCCCTGGCTGTTCACATGCCAAAGAGTGGATCAAGCTGGTCCGTGTTGAAGTGTTCATCCATATTACTGCAGCAGTTTTGTGGTTCAGGGTTTAAGTTTAGGGTTTAGGGACTATTAGTTAATGACCCATTTTATCCAATAGCCTCATATGAGCTTAACCAACCAACATTGGACCCGAAACCCTAAACCTTATTACAATACCGCTGTCCCCTTAGGCAACCCTAAACCCTAAACCCTAAACCCTAAACCCTAAACCCTAAACCCTAAAACCTAAACCCGAAACCCGAAACCCTAAAACCTAAACCCTAAACCCTAAACCCTAAACCCTAAACCCTAAACCCTAAACCCTAAACCCTAAACCCTAAACCCTAAACCCTAAACCCTAAACCCTAAACCCTAAACCCTGAACGCAACCATTCCCGATCTCCCTGAGTCGCCTGAAACCCTTTGAAGCCCGAAGACACAATGCAGCCCTAATGCGGAAGCCCAGGACCCTCAATCCTAAACCCCTGAACCCCCGACCAAGTCCGATAACCCTAAACCGTAACTCTAAACCCTGAATCTGAAGCCCCTCAACCCCTAAATCCCTGGGATTAAAATTTGGGGACGCCCCAAAGCCCCCCAAACCTCGGGGCGAAGACGCCCTGACCTCCAAGCCCTTCAACTTTAGGGTTTAAGGTTTCGGGTTCAGGCTTTAGGGTTTAGGGTTTAGGGTTTAGGGTGTAGGGATAGTTGCAAACCCTGCGAGCCCTGTAAGACAGACCTTTTAAACTCAAGGCCTAAAGCCCTAGAAGCCCTACGTACCCCAGCACTGAACCCCTAGCCCTTCCTTACCCCGAAGCCCTCCTTGATCAATTCTCAAAACTATGGTCCCTTTTTGGGTACCCTAAATAGCAGGGGCCGCCTTATGATAAGGACCCGTAATTTAGCGAAGCGACCATGTACTCTAAACAGAAGCCCTTAACCCTAAGAGCCATCGAGAAGGTAACCTAATAAACCCTAAACCCCAACGCCAAAACCCCTCGCCCTTAACCCTTAACCCGAAACCCTAAACCCTTAACCCCACACCCTAACCCCAAACCCTAAACCCTGAACCCCAAAACCCTAAGCCCTTAACCCCCAAACCCTTAACCCTCAACCCCAAACCCTAAACCCCCAAACCCTAAAACCCTTGAATCCCTAAACAGCGAAGGTGAAGAGCCGCCGGTCGATGTTGAAGCACGACACGCTGAAGCTCCTGCTGCCAGACGAAAGCGAAGCATGGAGCTGGGGGGGGGGGGGAGGCTGGGTTTAGGGTTTAGGGTTTAGGGTTTAGGGTTTAGGGTTTAGGGTTTAGGGTTTAGGAATTAGGGTTTAGGGTTTAGGGTTTAGGGTTTAGGGTTTAGGGAATAAGGTTTAGGGTTCAGGGTTGCAGCCGAGAAGCGCATTAAAACCCCAAAACCCCAAAACCCCAAAACCCCAAAACCCCAAAACCCCAAAACCCCAAAACCCCAAAACCCCAAAACCCCAAAACCCCAAAACCCCAAACCCTAAACCCTAAACCCTAAGCCCTAAGCCCTAAGCCCTAAACCCTAAGCCCTTAGCCCGAAACCCTAAACCCCAAACCCCAAACCCTAAACCCTAAACCCCAAACCCTAAGCCCTGAGCCCTAAGCCCTGGGTGGCGAAGGAGCGAGCTGCGGCTGTACTTTGGCGACCTTCAGGCTCGCCTGGGCCAGCAGCGAGCGAATGAGTTCTTCTACCACCTGAGCAAGGCTGGATACTGGGTTTAGGGTTTAGGGATCAGGGTTTAGGGTTTCGGGTTTAGGGCTTAGGGCTTTAGGGCTTTAAGGTGTTCAGGGGCTTTAGATGTTTAGGGGTTTAAGGGTTTACGGGTCTAGGGCTTCGAAGTTCTTGGCTGACGATTTCCCTCAACTTCCTTGTCAGATTAAGAACAACTCGGTCTAGGGCGTTGAGGGCATATTTGTTTGTGGTTCGGGCCTTGGCTTCCCAGAGAGCCCCAAAGCCCTCAATTAAGGACCACGCCTTAACACGATATAGGGATCCTCAGTATGAGTAAGGTCTTTTCCTTAGTTGAAGAACACGATTAAAGTAGTTAGGGATCCGTAGTAAGAGGCGTATTCCTGAATTATGGGGACTCTTTGCGTTTGAGGTGCAGGATACTTTCTTTTAATACGCGAGAGCTAAGGGGGAGTCGAGATGGTCTGGTTTAAGGTTTACGATGTTGGGTTTAGGGTTTGATATTCACTAGCCGTCTCGTGTTTTGTTGTTGTTGTTGTTGTTGTTGTTGTTGTTGTTGTTGTTGTTGTTGTTGTTGTTGTTGTTGTTGTTGTTGTTGTTGTTGTTGTTGTTGTTGTTGTTGTTGTTGTTGTTGTTGTTGTTTGTTGTTGTTGTTGTTGTTGTTGTTGTTGTTGTTGTTGTTGTTGTTGTTGTTGTTGTTGTTGTTGTTGTTGTTGTTGTTGTTGTTGTTGTTGTTGTTGTTGTTGTTGTTGTTGTTGTTGTTGTTGTTGTTGTTGTTGTTGTTGTTGTTGTTGTTGTTGTTGGTGTTGTTGTTTTGTGTTGTTGTTGTTGTTGTTGTTGTTGTTGTTGTTGTTGTTGTTGTTGTTGTTGTTGTTGTTGTTGTTGTTGTTGTTGTTGTTGTTGTTGTTGTTGTTGTATCATCAATGCTACACACACACACACACACACCTGGTTCTTTACCTCTCTCTCTGTACTATTTGCTTAAGAACCCCCCTAAATGAAAGATATTCCTCCCTTTCTTGCCCTTGAGAGGAAGAACATCTAATTTTTTCAGGGGTTCTTAAGCAATCAGTGGCTCTGTTGTGGTGGGCTTTGGGCTTTGCATCGCTTACAGGGTTATTCATGCGAGTCATACTCGGACCCCTAAAAATGTACACCTAAGAGACTCCCTTCACATACCCCCAATATGGCAGTTATATTCCCTTGGAGGATCTCTCAAAAGGGTAAAACTCCAAAAGCCCTGAATCCCCTAAAGCTCCCTAACACCTGAAACCCCGAACTCGAAACCGCTAGACACCCCAAACACACTAAATAGACCCTAACCCTAAATCCTCACAGCCTAAACCCTAAATGCCAAACCCCCCTAAACCTTAAACCCTAGAACGCAAATCCTAAACCCCTAAACCCCTAAACCCCTAAACCCCTAAACCCCTAAACCCCTAAACCCCTAAACCAGTAAACCCCTAAACCCCTAAACCCCTAAACCCCTAAACCCCTAAACCC